GGATAGTCACAACATTAGATCTTTACTTTTTAAATTGACAACTTTGTCTTCACTTTCTTTAACACTGTCTTGGATGAATAAATGGATGAATGAAGTCAAGCATTATTAGGTCTTTGCATTCTCTAAATTCTTATTAGACAAGTCATATCTTCGCTTTTTTTTAAATTATTAGATCTCTGCTTTCTTTAAAATTCTTATTAGACATTTTCGTATTTACAATTATGACATTATTAAGTTTTCGTATTCTTTAAAACTTTTGAATAAAGTTATACGTAATTAGGATTTTGCATGATTAGGGTTTAGCTATTGAATGAGACCTTGACGTTATTAGGTATTCGCTTGAACTTTGATTCAATTGTTGTTATTTTGTAAGAATGAAAAAATCAATAATTTAGATCATAGATTCTTTTTATTTATATGTTATGCAATGACATATTTAATTTTTCATATCAAAAATGTTAAATTTGACTTTTTATTGAATTGAAAGGTATCGCATGGGTTGTTACATCAGACCCGTACAATAACTATAACTTACTCCGTATTTGATTAAGAATTTTGATGAACTACTATTATTCTTAAATTGTAAGAAAATTTGAAAAACATTATAAAAAAAGCATGCGAATAGTTCTTTAAATTCGAACAACTATAATACTGTAGACTAAAAGACGAAGATATACTTTTTTGAAATTAAAAAAGTCACGTAAAAACAGCTTTTAGATATCTTTGAGAAATGTGTTTTTATTCATTAAATTTGTATTATACTTGAATTATTAAATTTCTTAAATGACGCAATTATTTTGGCTGATTAATGCGCCGCAAACTGGTACACATTCGCCCAGTGCCATATGTGTCGGATGTATCACATGCGCTATAGGTGGTACGTACGTACGTAATTAAACTCGTGACATTCGACCAATTTTTATTGTTATTAGCACTGTCGACCAGGGCACAAAATCGTCACATGACGTGTCCTGATTTTTTTCCGATGATCTTTTTATTAAACGGAATTCCGAATTCCCAGCCGAAGATATATATGTATTACTTAATACAGTAATATTTTAGAGGAATTATTTGCGTACATCAGTTTCGTGTAACTCACGTACATCAATTTTTTTTAGTCCAATGAAATTTCAGCGTCAGTTAGTAATATTCAAATTCGATAATTATTTGCGTACATCAGATTTGTGATGTACATCACTAAAAATCACGTGCTTAAAAATTGATTATTTAATGCTTTTACTTTGATCTTACTTTGATCTTACTTTGATCTTACTTTGATCTTACTTTGATCTTACTTTGATCTTATGTTTATTGTTAACTTTATATTTACCATTGACCTTGTATTCATCGTTGATCTCGATCTTATATTCATATTTAGTCGAATTTTCATTTATCATTAACTTACAATATTCGCTTTCATTTTCATCACCATTGACCTTGTATTCATCGTTGATCTTATATTCATAGTTGATTTTACATTTATTATTAATCTTACAATATTCGCTTCCATTTTCATCAATCTAGTTTCATATACTTTCGTTGCTATTTGGCTTATTTTTTCATACTCACCTTATTTTTCATTAATTCTAGGTTATATATAACGATTTTTGTAATGAGCACTAATACTAACGTTAATAATATTCTTATTCCTAAAAAAGGAAATACTTTTTCTACTTTTGGGGAAGCTCATGCATTTGTAAAAAATTATGCAGCACAAACCAATATTGTTACAATTTTGGGAAAGACAACCAGAAATTCAGAAGGTAATGGTTATAGACAGGCATTTTTCATTTGCGAGAAACAGGGAGCTATAATGGAAAAAACGATGCATATGCTACTAAGCGAACAGGTTGTCAGTTTGTTATCAGATTAAATTATCATAAGCGCTCAAAGGAATTCGCTATAACCAAATTATGCTTGGAGCATAATCATGTTATTTATCCTGATGCTAAAAAATTTAGTATCAATATGCGTAAAATGGATCAGAATGAGCTAGGCACGATTAAAGATCTTCACAATAAAGGACTTCGAACAAAAGACATTTAAACTGTCTTAGCATCTGTGAGCTCGAAGTATGTACATAAACGTGATGTTTATAATGCTGTTGGTCGTCAACGTCAGCAAAAATTGCAAGAGCTAAATGAAATTGAGATGCTGCTTAGAACTTTAGAAAATGATGAAAACATTATTGCAAGTATTGCTACTAAACCTGCGTATAATGATGAGCATAATCAAGATGGATCATTTATCCAAGCAATCTTCTGGGCTCATCAAAATGTATTTTCCGAGTTTGCAGTAGCAAAAGCAGGTAGGATTAATTTTTTATTTTTTATTTTAATTTTCCAGGTGTTGCTTGCTGTGAGACGCCAAGTAGGCATATTATTTAATGTTATTGAATTAGATATCTATAAATTTTTTTAAGCCTAATCAAAATTCAACACTAAATTTACGTCCTAATATAACCCTAAAACTTACAGAATGTGCATCATTGTTCGATAAAGTAGAGTCATTAATTTACGATAAGGCTAGGTTTTCTATGGAGAATATTATGACATATAGTCCACACGAATGGCTCAATAGGCGCAATCAGGTAATCGTCAAATTTATAGAAGCCCTGGTTCAGAATGACCGAGATGATACTTTAAGCCAGAAAAAACTTTTTAAAACTGCAACTGCAGTTGATTTGATATGTGGAGCGTGTCTTAGAAAATATGTATCAGAAATCCAGCTTGCTCTTTCAGCTATTAAATATTCGATCACAAGGTCAAGAATTATAATTAATATCGACAATCACATCACGAATTCGGGAAGTGAATATCAGTTTTAAAATTGGTTAGAAGAATTATCAAAACATGAGGAACCTTTACCTGAAGGCCTTTTATTTCTGGCATTTGATAATGAGCAACAGGGCAGAAAAACTATCTTGATTGGGGATTCAATAAAGTTATTTACCATAGTTACAAGCTTCGTCAGTTTCAATATAGCGCCGCAGAGCAAAATTTAGCATGTCAATTTACCTTGGGCGTGTGATTCTCTTGACAGGTCACAATATAATGAACTATTTGATGTGAATGATCAAATGCAAGAAGTCATCGATAAAGAATTATATTCTTATCTTAGTGAAATTCTTAATTCGCTATCTGAAGAAAAGCTAATATCTACTAATATTATTGATTCACTTATAGAATATACAGGAGCAAGTATTACGAATATAAAAGAATGTCCCAAATGCGGTCAAAAAAAGATTGAAAACTGAAAAAAATTATGCACAAATTGTGGAACAAAATTGCTAACGTTGGCTGAAATACAAAAAAAAAGAAAAAGAAGCAATTGAAGATAATACAGCCGATCAATCAATCCATATTTTTATTTTTAAACTATATATTACTAATGACAAACAAAATACTTCTTCTATTCCCAGGATCAGTCTTACCCAACATGCTACTGATCCAAAAGTTAACGTTCCTGAACTTTACATACCCGACCTGATTAATATTAACCCCAATTCAATTTTGAATGTCAAAAAAATACTTTTGCATATAAAAAAAATTTCGGGTATTGAATCCAAAACTCGCAAGTGGATTGCAATAGCCTGTGACAGTGTTCCGTATAGTTATGCTACTAAAATTAAAAAAAGTTCCCTTGGCTAGTTCTTATACCGGGACAACTGCATGAGGAAATGAATATGCTTCGAGCATTTGTAGAGTTAAATTGGTAAGTTATTTTTAAAGCTATTATATGGGTCCAACTAACTTGCTCAGATTGAAATATAGTTGTTAGACAAAACCTCGAGGTTTTGTGCTGACAAAAGTCGAAACCTAGTTTTGACTTTTGTCAAGTAAAATCTCAAATAACGAAATGTCAAAACTGTCGAAAGATGTCGAAATTGACAAAAGACGTCGAAACTAACAAAAAGTGTCAAAAATAGCAAAAGATGACAAACTGATGAAACTACAAAGGTGACAAAACTAATAGAAGAAGAAGAAGCAGATAAATGTTATTGAAGATATTGTGAATAAAAATAAATTACGAAAAATTTTTTATATAATAAACAAGTGTAAGTAAGGGCATCTTGGCTTTATATTTTATGTTCATAAAGGGCTATATACAATTTATGCTTAGATTAATTTTAATAAGAAGCTTAATAAACAACTTATTAATTAAGTAAATTAGCACAAATAAGAAATTAATAATAAACAGATTATTTTACATATTTTAGTGTTTTGATTAAAAAATAATCATTATCTATTGGCTAAATTGACTTGAATAAAAAACAAATTAGCACAGATAATAAATTAATAGGAGAAATACTAGTTTTTTTTTAGTGGGAGTACTAGGTTGTTTTTTTTTTTTAACAGGAGTACTAGGGTTTTGTCAAGTTAGGTTTGGGGTTTTGACTTTCATCAGAAGGATTTGAGGTTTCAACTTTTGTCAGAAGAATTTGAGGTTTTAATTTTTGGCAGAGGTTTCGTCATTTAGGGCTCAGGTTTTGACTTTTGTCATCAAGCAAAAAAGGTTTTGTCTAACAACTATAGATTGAAATCAAAATTTAAAAAAATTTTGTTAATAGCTCTGTTTAAAAGAAAAGCTACCAATGTCGGGTACATCTTTGCTTTATTAACCATTTTTTTTTTATTAGGGATATTGATGTGAAGCAATTCGTAAAATGTCAAGGTTATAGAACAAAAAACCAGCTTACCTATTTCAAAAAATATGCAGATTATCACAAGTCTTGGGATTCTATTTGCAATATTTATCATCGAGCAGTCTTAATGAAACTTTTGTGGCCATATGTGAAGAGCTATTCAGAGTTATCAGTTGAAGGGTATCTCGCTTGGGTCAAAGAACAGCAGGATCCACTTTACTAAATTAAATATGAGCAGGTAACCATCAGCTTTTATTTATTTAAAAAAAAAACAGTTTCTAATACGAAATTTTTATTATTACAGATATTCATTTATCTCCAGGCAATTATCAATTATTGAAAAGCTATACAGACTAACAATTCTCTTTTAAAAAAAGCAGCCATAAGAGTATTTTCGCCAATCTGGTCTGCAAGACGCCACCCTATCTATTAGTTAATAGAAGTTGCTGATGAGGTTCAACTCATGCAACTTCGTCCAGAGATACGTGATATTATAGAGAAAAATTGTGTTGTTTCTAGGTCAGGTCTTTATGAACAACACCAAGGATTAGATGCGATTATCAAAGAGGTGAACAAGACTTTGAAAACCTTAATACCTCCAGTTCCACAAGAGCATCACTAGAAAATTGCTGCACGCAATTGCAAGAAGTTCATTGAGGTGATACATTTATTTTAATTATACAGCAGTTTATAAATAATTGTATTCACTAATATTATTTTAGCTTCGAAGCAATTTATTTAAAGTCATCAGATATAACGATCGTTAAACGTCTGAATCAAGAACTTAGCCTGAATCAACGATGGAATGCCAAAGGTTTCGAGCTTATCTGCGAAGCTTTGAATTTTTAAACCAGGACCTGGACGAATATGATTTGAGCAAAAATTTAAAAAATTTTACGTTTTTAGCAAAACAAGCATGACAAAAATTTATTACTGAAATATTTATTAATAAAAATAATTCATTTTCATTTAGGTCTATACTGGTTACGAATAAAGAAATAAAGATGCAAGAAAGTGAAGAGAACATGTCCAAACCCGAAATTTTAGTAAAGATTTAGATCCTTCTTGAACATCTTGGTCAAGATTCGCGAAAAAACTATTTTAGACTAAGGTCAAAAAACAAAACCGAATTGCTGAATATCTTGTAGGAGATAAAAGGTTTATTTACTGTAGAGAAATTTGATCAAGATCACTTAGAAATTCCGGAATAGTGTGATATTTTATTTATTAAAAAAAAATTTTATGTTATTACTATATTATTTAATTCAATAATTATCAACTATACATGTATAATTTTAATAATAAAGAATGGTTTTTATTTGATGTCTCGCTTGTACAAATTTTTTATTTGACAATTATAAATAAATAAAAATCTTAGATATGCGGATCGATTATAATAAGCGCATTCTTGAAATTTATTTCTCAAAATCCAGAAATCAGTAAATCACTATGCGGATCAATTATAATAAATGCATTTTTAAATTTTTTTTCCTCTTAAAATCAATAAATCATATCCCTGAATAAACGATTCAAATAAAGCATCATTGATTTAAATTAATAATGTAATGAAGTTTTATGCCAAAACAAAGATAAAATTAGAATTCCAAACCATCCCAACTATCCGAATTGGTTACAGGTTAATTTTTTGAAATCAATTTTACTGAAATACCATTTCACTGAAGTTATCCCATTTTACTAACAAGACATAATTTTGAAAATCTCATTTTACTGAAATATCTGAATCTTTCAGTATTCTACCACTTCGTTATTCGAATTCGCAGGAGTATTCCACGTGGTTAGAGGTCATAATTCCTAGCTTATGCTGACAAGAACTCAGAATCGAGAATTAGCAAAAAAATAAAAAAGCTAAAAAAATAAAACTTCGAAACTGTTATTAACCTGTTGTAGTGTTCCAATCCATTCTAAACTCAAATTCGGGTCTCCTAGATCGCGAACTCTGCAACTGAAATTAGGATTATGCAGATCTGAATTCTTTTTATTCCCATAATTTATTGCAGCATTAGAATTTAAAATCTTTTATTAGAGTGCGTGAGAGTAAAAACCCATAAATGTATAATAATTTACTATGATCAGTTACAGGTTTTCACTTTCGCACCCATTACTGTATTAGCGGGTTATTAAATATATGTTATGGCATTACTGCTTTTTAAATTAGAAAAAAAAACATGCGTTTTGTTCAAGAGTTATTGTGATATGTTAAAAAAAAGTAAATATTTCTATATCATTTCTAAAATATTCGGGTTAGTAAATTATTACTATAATAGGTGTGATCTATGTTATCCATATTTGGTAAATCAGCAGACTGCATTAGGAGAGGTAATTTAGACACATATACCTCTGATACTGTGTTTTGAGGAATACGTGAGTCAAGCTTTATAGGCATTGTAGCACGATTATCATCCAATTTCTTGACTTTAGGTTTTTTAACAATATTTTCAAAAGTACTGCAGATATGCCTGTTATTAGAGAGATGACCATGCTTACGCTTGCTCTTAGAAATCTTAATTTCTTTATAATTTGTAGCATTGTCAACAATAGTCATTTCAAAATTACCCTGCTGCGAAATAGACAATTCATTTTGAAGCTTTGGCATTTTGCCATTCCTCAAAATATGCTCTGAAGCATCTTGTATAAGACTTAATAAATCACTATAGTAACATTCTGGCAGCTTGTTAAAAATCTGCATAGCAAGTTGGGAAACAGAACCTGAATCATGATCAA